GCAAATGGCAGAATTTCATTCTTTTTTATGGCAGAATAGTATTCCATTGTGTATATATACCACATTTTATCCAGTAATCCATCAATGGACATTTATGTGGGTTCCATATCTTGGCTATTGTAAATAGAGCTGTGAGAAACATGAAAGTGCAGGTATCCCTTCAACATGATGATTTCCATTCCTTTGGGTATATGCCCAGTAGTGGGATTGCTGGTTTATGTGATACTTCTGTCTATAGTTGTTTGAGAAACCTCCATACTGTTTTCCATAAAAGCTGTACTAATTTACAGTTCCATGAACAGTGTAGAAGAGTTACCCTTTCTCCGCATCCTCACCTGCATTTGTTATTCTGTCTTTTTGATAATAACCAGTCTAACTGGGGTGAGATGATATCTCAAAATAGTTTTCATATGCATTTCCCTGATGATTAGTGATGTTGAGCATTTTTTCATATACATTTTGGCCATTGGTTTGTCCTCCTTTGAGAAATGTCTATTCAGCTCCTTTACCCATTTTTTTAAAACAGATTATTTGGATTTTTACTGTTTGAGTTCCTTGTATATACCTGATCACCTATTGCCAGCAGTTCATGATATTTCAGATTTAGCTGTCTACAGAAGAGCACTATATATTTCATCAACACCATCATCACTGTTGAGCCATAAAATATAAGATACGGAGGGATCCATGGATGTGTTCATTTAACAAATATTTATCAGTGACCTACTATGTTCCAGGCAATGTGCTGGTCACTAAAGATTTAACATTGAGCAAGCCGTAGTATCTGACCTTAGGAGCCTGGCTTCTGTAGTAGGAGGCAATCAGGCAGTTAGAATATAAATGTATACAGGCCATCCCATTCATTTTACACATGTGGAAATAGAGGATAATAAAATAAATAACTTGGTATCTCCCCCTCCCACAAAAAAGAAAAGAAATAGTTTGTCAAATTCTCACTATCGCTTGTTGGTGGAAATGGAAATTGGTATAACCATTCTTGAAGGACAATTTCGGAATGCCTTTTAAATGTGAAAATGTTCTTAGTCCTTAATGCAACTATCCTAAACAGGAATTTATCCTTCAGATGTACTTAGAAGATCCAAAGGTGTGTGTTTGAGAATATTCCTCTTGTATTGTTCATATTAGGGACACACAGGGGACAATCTAATGTCGATCAGTAAGTGATTGATTGAATGAACTACGAAATACTATGCAGGAATTTAGAAGATGAAGTAGATTTGACTAATAATGCATATTTTGAAGCACTCTGTAAAAGAATATGCTTATTCAGAAAAAAAGATTTTAAAACTATTAAAAATGATAACATTAAAAATTAGGATGACAACATGGTTTTCTAGTTTCTTACAAGAATTCCTGAACTTTATTTATTTATTTTATTTTTTCCTTTTTGAAATTAGTCTTTAATATCCTCCCCTATTTCCAGCTAAATAACCACAGAATACCAATATTTTTTTTGTCACTCAACATTTTCTAACCTGTAACTCTTAGGAATACATAGTCCCATGTCCTCATCAGGCATTCACTGTTCCAAGCAGGTCTCCATCCATTAGCCTTGTAAATACCAGCCTCCTCTTTCCTCCCAGTCTCAAGGTTACTCTCAAAAACAGTGGTAAATCCAAAAAGAGCTTTTAAGTGGCAAGGCATGGCCCATCAACAGTCAGCTCCAGGGCAGTTTTCAGCCCTGCCTCACCTGGGTCTAGTTCAGCTGGCGGATGAGTTGATTGATGCGTTCACCCCGATAACCAGGTGTGCCCACCTCCTTGAGAAAGCCCACTTTATTCTTGGTAGCGTGACGGTCCCCTGAGAGTTGGAATGGGTGCAAGAAACATGAGATCTCCTGGAAATACTTCCCCGGGAAGGCAATTTCATGAATGAGGTCTTCCAAGCAAATGACACCAAACCGCCCTAAGGAACATAAGGGCACAGGTTCCCTCATTCAACATTTACCCAGCATACACTGAGAAGCTCTTATATGCAGGAGCTGGGCATTTTGGCAGGTTCTCGGGACCCTAAGAATACAACCTGGATCCCACATCGAGGCTGCCAGCAACCTCTGCTCTCTGTCCGAACAGACCCCTAAGCCGCACCACTCACCCAGGTGATCCTCAATCACTGTGTTGTCCGTTAGAGGGATGGTCTTATTCTTGACCTTGGCTTGTCCACGTTTCAAGATCAGTTCCCGGACAGACTTCAGATTTGGAAATCTATGTGCAGCAGAATAAAGCACAGCCTTAGCCAGAACTTGGCACACTACATTACACTGGCCACGAGGTCCTGCAGCCTGACTGAGGAGAAAAGATTAGAGAGGTTCTCCCGCCCACTCCTTCCCCCAAAGAAGTGCTCTGCAATCACATTCCAGCAGGGATGCTTGGGAATACACGAAGGAGGGGATAAAAAACTGGAGTGGCCTTGGCTATGTAATCAAAAATTGAAACTTATGGGGTCGAGCCCGTGGCGCACTCGGGAGGGTTGAAGTCTTGCAATGGTCCTCTGCACCAGTGAACTCACCCCATTAATCCTTTGGATGCGTACAACAAAGGCCAAGGAATGATTATCTGGCATTTCCAGAGCATGAGGTTTCACTTCTAGTCGTCTGAGACGCACCATGTCGCGTTGCTGCCGCCAGGAATCATGTAGGAATGATTCCAGTCGCTTAAACCTGAGCCCTTTTCCTTTTCTTTGCTCCTTCTTTGCCAAAAGTGCCTGCTTTGCCTGGGTGGCCTTGAGAGCTTGATAAGCTTTCCTCTTTTTCAGGAGATTTTCTGGAACCAAAGGGATCTTTTTTCCTTGCTCGGGCTCGGCCATCTTCCTAGTGCTGCCGCTACTCAAGAATTCCTGAACTTTAATTCAGGTCTCTCGAGTCCTGGTCCAGTTAGTTCTCTTTCTATGCACTTATCTCTTGCCATGTGGGTAATCTGTTGAAAGTTTTTGCTTGAAGGCAAAAATTTTTCTAAGCAACCACTAATTCTCATTACAGAAAATGCAAATATTGGACTATTCCTATGAATGGAAAAGGAAACTGCTGATATTGTTAGTAAGCACTTGAAATGACACCCTGTGGAAACTGTAAACTTTACACCACAAAAATGTAAGACCAAATAACCCATGATTTGGCCTATTGATAAGGAGGCCTCATGAATTATCTAGAACAAACAGCAAGCAATACACTTCAGAGGCAGTTTTGCACAAAGTAGTATTAATTGTATAAAATAGAATATTTATGTTTATATGCAATAAGGTAAAAGATGAGGGTCCTTCCTACCCGTCAAACAGAAAACTCTATCAAACAGATGAGAAATTCAATGTGTAAGAANGTGGGTCCTTCATGAATGGATTAATACTCTCCCTGGGGGATGGGGATAGTGAGTGAGTTCTCACTTTATTAGTTCTCATGAGAGCTGGTTATTTAAAACACCCTGGCGTGCTCTCTCTCTCTCTCTCTCTCTCAACATGTGATCTGCTTGCACTCACTGACTGCCTACCACCTTCTGCCATTAATAGAAGCAGCCTGAGGCCCACACCAGATGCAGCTGTCCCAGAATCGTGGGCCAAATAAACCTCTGTTCTTTATAAATTACCTAGTCTCAGGTATTCTGTTATAGTAAAACAAAAACAGACTAATAAAAATAGCAAAATCAAGTGTAAAACCACCTAATGGGATCTTTAATGCATGCTAAGTGTTCTTTTTGCAAATTCATGGAATTTGCATGTCCTAAATTGAAGAATGCAAAATTTAAGGAAATGTAACATTCGTTTCTCAGTCTTCAGCTTTGGCCACCTCATTGTACAACTGTGAAAGACGAAGATATCATTTCATTCAACTCAAACAAGTTTTGAATTGCCCGAATGTGTGGTTGACTATGTAAAAGGATGCTAAAATGAAAATCTCTGCTGAGACCTAAGACAAAAGACATCAGACAATAAGGACAGTTGTAAAACAGTCCATCCACCTAAAACTCAGAATAAAATCTGTGTAGACATTCCTAAACCTCTCATATGAAAAGTACAAACTGGTACTTTCATTTCAAACCTGGTGAGAAAGCTCCAAGGAACCAGTTGGACAGCCTATTACTTATCTCTGCAGTTTGGGGAAACCTAGGGCCTAGTTCTGAACTTTTACCCCAAAAATCTAAGGGGTGAGAAGGCACAGTCTAAAGGAAAGTCCAAAGGAGAGAATATGGCACTGGATAGCTTAAAGTCTCAGAATTTCTAGGGCAAAATGTGCAGGGGTATTTCCCGTAGACCTAATGTAAGCTACGTTCAAGAAAGCCAGCGTGTCATCACCTTAGAATCTGTCTACAGGGGTCCCAGGAGAAGCTAACAGACAGCATCAGAGAGAAGCTGGAGACCATACCAGATTTCCTGTGGTTGGATAAAGGACTAGTCCACCAGCGTAGGGGAGAAGGATTTGCCTGCATCAAAGACTACAGAAGAAAGCCCCCATGACAGGGACTGTAAAGTACTCACCACAGACAGTCTGCTGTGTGATTAAAAAGTTGAACATTTACTGGATGTTTGATCATATTTAAAAATGACTGATTTTTACGTGTGATAAAGGTATTGCAGTTTTTTAGAGATATATAGAGAGAGATTGAGAAGGAATCCTTAACTTATAGAAATATACTAAAATATTTACAGGGGCTGACTTGTGAGCTTTGTTGGCTAAAGCGCCACCTTGTAACACCCCAAGGTCAAGGGTTTAGATCCCCATACTGGCAGGCTCAAAAAAAAAAAAAAAAAAAAAGTACAATAAAATAAAATACTTATAGACAAAGTATGAAATGATATATATGGGATTAGCTTCAAATTAGTATGGGAGTGGATCATAGAGCTTCACAACATTGGATTTGGCAGTGATTTCAAGGATATGACATGAAAAACACGGGCGAAAAAAATAGACTAATTGAACTGAAAAAAAAAGATTTGTGCATCAAAAGACACTATCAGCAGATTAAGAAAGAATTCCGTAAAATGGAAGAAAATATTTGTGAATCATAAATCTGATAAGGGACTGACATCCAGAATGTATAGTGAACTCCTAAAACTCAACAACAACAACCAGATTCAAAAATGAGCACAGGACTTGAATAGACATTTCTCCGAGGATATATAAATGCCAATAAGTACATGAGAAGATATACCCTAAAAATTGAAAACAGGATCTCAAAGAGATATTTGTACATCTATGTTCATAAAAGCATTATTCACAATAGCTAAAACATGGAAGCAACCCAAGTGTGTATTGGCAGATGAATGTATAAGCAAAATGTGGTATATAGATATAACAGACTATTACTCAGCCTTACAAAGGGAGGAAATTCTGATATTTGATATAACATGAATGAGCCTTGAGGGCATTATGCTAAGTGAAATAAGCCATTCACGAAAGAGAAATACTGCTTGATTCCACTTACATGAGAAAGTTAGAGTGGTCAAAACTGTAGAAACAGAAAGTAGAATGCAGGTTGCCAAAGATGTTAAAAAAAAATAGAATATGGACATAGGGACGGTGAGATAAAGAAAACAAAATTGACCATTAATTGAGATTGGTTGAAGTTGAGTGAAAAGCACATTGGGGTTCATGAAACTATTCTATTTCTGTATATAATTGAAATTTCTCAAAATAAAATTTAGAAGAACAAAAGAATAAGTTTTACACCTTTGCTAAAGGTACAAAGCAGCGTCAATGATACCGTATCATTAGTGTAAGAAAGGAGGAGCAATAAAAAAAATATTGGCCTAATTTTGGAAGGGAAAAAGGCAATGTCTAAAGAAATAAACCAAAATAAAAATGTTTACATATAAGGGGGAGGATGTGTTGTAGGGGATAAGGACAGAAGCAAGACTTTTCTGAGGATACTTATTAGTATAGATCTGACTTTTGACGTATGTAAAGATTTTACACATTTACAAAATCAATCACAGTTAAAAAACAAACCCTACAATTGAAAACAAACTGAAATGAATGAACCAAACTGGTATGTCAAATTGATAAATTAATCACACAGAGAAATGATTATTCCAAGTCATTTTGAAAAAAAAGTCTTTGACATTTCATCCCAAAGATATTGCCTAAGGACAAAAAGAACTGAAAATAAAACTTACACTTCACTCGATGGTAAAAATACTGGTATTGCAATTTTGAAACAATTTTCTATATATTGTAGGATAAAGTAAATAATGAAATAGGTTAATGTAATTAGAAGCTAAGATTTACAGTGTAAGAGAAAAGGGAAATATAAAATCAAAGAAGTTGGGGCTGGCTGGTTAGCTCAGTTGTTTAGAGGAGAGCATTATAACACCGTGGTCCCAGACTCGAATCCCCATACTGGCGCAGCCGCTAAAAAAAAAAAAAAAAAAAAAAAAAAAAAAAAAAAAAGAAAAAATATCAAAGAAGTTAAGTGGGGAAAAAAAACTTGTATTATTAAATTTGGATTGAAAATGTTGACATGAGGTCATGACTAAAACACTTGCCCCTTTTTCTTGGAGCATAGCTGTGGGGGAGTTGCTAAACTCTTGAAGAAAAAAAGACACATTGGCAGCTTGGGACATGATGCAAGACTCTTTGATGGCAAAAAAAAAAAAAGATCATGACACACACCCAAACAGATAAAGGAAAAAGACAAGAAGTTCCAGGGGAAGAAGATGGGTGGGGAAGGGTGAAGAGAAATACAGGACCACTCTATAAGACTGGGAATGACAATTGGAAGATTTCAGTCTGTAGTGAATAACTTGCAAAAAGATACAAGGAATAAAGTGATAATCTTAGAGATATTAAATGCTTCTGAGGCACAGAATGATACCCTTTTCACAAATACCAGCAAGGATCATTTTAATATATACTTGATTAATGGGGGACACTGATCTTTCAAGTGATCTTAGTATCCATAAGTTTTGGCCACATGCCAAGATTACTCATATGCTATGCAGATAATTTAGTGCATGCTCTAACAATCGGCATTCTAGAAATTTCCAGGAGTTGGAGAAACCATCACCTAAAGATGAAGGCAAGAATAGGATACTTGCTGTAGCAAAAGACATGGAAGTTATGGAAACTGATTTGGATTGTTTAGACTCTAAATCATTAGGACAGGCTCATGGCATTGAGTGCAGAGAGGTGTAGAGTTCCAGGTGAAAGTTTTGACTGAAGATGCTGAAATTTTCCAAAGGAAACTTGAAGAAACCACCAGATCAGTCAGGGAGCTCCAGGAGACTCAGAGCATCTGAGCACTAGGCTTCCTTTCAACATCATCTGTCTCTTAAGGTCCCTTACAGAGACGTGCATCTTGCTGA